TGTGATAAGACATCTTCTTGACAGCATTTTTGGAGCTTTGGGCTGAGATTTTCAGTCGGATGGAGACTAGACTCTCTGTTCTTAATTGGCTGAGATCTCTGTTCTGCGGCGGATACACCAAACAGAGCCTACGCTCTTTGAATTGAGGTCGGCATCTTCCACGGATTTCTTCCATCCACTTGTCTTGGATACCAAGTCACAAACAGGCGCTCCTGGAGCCTGCCCCTCCAGCGACCTGTGTCCTTAGCTGAATGCATCTCTTGCTATTGTGGAGAATATATAGTTCGCAGTACATAATATGTGAGTCCCGCTCGTTTTCCCAGGACTCCCCGTTCGTTCGGCAAACATATTTCAATATTTCGTCTTTACACATCATCCACACATAATGGGGACAGCATCTAAGATAGTGTCGGTGATTTTTCGCATCGGCGAACTTATTTGCGCTGCAATTGTCACAGGTATCTTGGGGCGATACCTCTCTATTCTTGATGATGCTCACGTCAACGAAAACTCCCGTATAATTTACGCTATATCTATTGCAGCTATAAGCATTTTCTTTTCCATCATCTTCATGCCCCCACTAAAGTATTCCTACTGGGGCTTTCCGGTTGACTTTGGACTCTTCATATGCTGGATGGTTGCATTCGGTTTACTATTTAACGTATGTCTGTCGATTATACCTGCTGTCTCCTAAGAAATCTCAATATGAACAGATAATCTAATATGCATTACTAGCTTACCGGATCAGAAGGATGCGACTCATACTGGTACTGGCATAGCTGGGGCTACTACTGGGATGGTTGGTGGCGTACTATCCCAGTCAGTAGTGCTACACGATCCATCGTCGGTGTTGCTGCTTGCTCATACTGGCGAGCCAGCATCGCCTTCAGTTTTCTAGGTGGCTTGCTTTGGTTTGGCAACGCGCTGATTGTAAGACCTCTACCGCTTCTGGTTGACTAGTTACACTCTGACTGGCGACCAGGGCATTTACGTATCTGTGACATCTCGTCGTCAACGCCTCGACAGAGATATATCTAGCATTGAAGATTCGTAAGTGCTCCCAGTGCTCGTCAAACCAGTCTAACACTAGTCAAAGATCTCAGCCACCGAAAGGGTCGACCGAAAATTCGGTGAGCGGCTAAGAACTGGCGGGAATTGAGACCGTCCAGGGATAATAAGCGATACGCAATAGTCTATGCTGGTGTCTCAATGCTCTAACGATGGCTAGTTTGGGGAACGAATTGGGTAAGCCTGTATATTCGGAGGAGACATCGACTTCCGTACCAAGCCGATAGTTTCGCGTTTCCGAGTGTTATTCGACTTAAAATCTAGGAGGCTTCCTTATGTATTAAGGGGGTTTTAAGCACGCGAGTAGAGGACTGAGGAAGCGGAATTTTGCATTAGGATCGACCTTCAATCTGCAGTTGATATCCTGGTCTCCTGTACAAGGTTTTGGATGCCTCGATTACATTATTGCCCTAATTATTCCCATGTCGAGTGAATCCCACACATTGAAGGTATCGAGAAAAGTGGAATATGGATGTTCAGTGATCTAGTGTATATATACCCCGGGGAACAGGAGAGCTAGGCGCGAAAGGAGGAATCTGGTAAAACAAGTAACTTTGGGTGAAATAGTTCTCTCTGCAAAAATCTGTGGCTTGCACTCTTCGATGATGAAGTCAACTTCAGTAGCTGATCATTTACGAACGTGAAAACATATTTGACTCTTAACATAAATACGCATAGCGTGAACAGGAATCCGAGTTGCTTGATGCGAGACCCCCAACAGCTGTCCCCAAATGTGGATCGGAGACCTCTCATTCCACGACGTTTCTGGCCTTGATACTGAACCGATGGCTTTAATATACCAGTATCTAAATTTAATTTTCATGGGAAATATCTCTTGCATACTGAAGAAGCACGGGAGATGTCCTTTATTACAAGGTATGGCCGAGGGCTAGGCACGATTCATCAATTTTGAGGGCTTCCAACCACTGCTTACGGCTTTCATGCTTTTACTGCCGGTCGCTGATTTTTATTATTTCAAGTTGTCCTATCAACTTAACTACTATTATTTTATAGGTACGGTGCTTTAAAACTCAAACTTCTTCTTCCCCTCCTTGCTTTTGATACGGGGTATTATAGAATAGTAGTCGGACCTTCAACAAATTGCAATTTTCAGGGAGGGTGAGGCAGTGTCATGTTCTGGAGTTCCATGACCTCATCTTTCCTTGTGATGAACGGACTTCGAGACTTGCCTCTCGCAACGTATTTGAGGAGGGTGAAGAGGGGCAGCTAGAGATGAAGGTGCCCAAAAACCAAAACAGTAGCCGAAAAGAGCCTAGGGCTGTTGCACTAATTCACTATTTGGTTGGCCTGCAGCCCGGATCGCGAATCGGTCTTTAATCGTGCTCAGGTACTTTCGTGAGCTAGGTATCTATCTCCGTACTACATCGTATCCTTACTCCATGATTAGACGAACGCCGCTAATTATTCGAGATATTTAAAGGTTAGCCGAAAACCCACAAGCTAAGTTCGGGTAAGATTGAAGGGACTTTATATTGTCATCTTAATCTAGGAATTATAAACCTGCCTCTTAGTCATTAGTGGCATTCCACATAGAATTGCTCACCCAACCCCATAATCGTACTACATTCTATGGGCGTCAAGTCCAACCACTTGACTAGGTCGGAATATTTAATCCCAGACATGATCGACATCCGGGGGTCACCATGATCAGCCAACCTTCATGCACTAACATGTGAACTTTCAGCTATTCTCCACAAAAGCAGCAGTGTGACACCCCTGTGTCCCGAAATGTCCGAGCTTCGTTTATCTTATGCCTTTTGGTGGTAATGAACGTGTCTTCTGGGAAGTCATTCTCCATCACGCAGTACTTTTGGGCACGCCCGCTTTCTTTAGCTTGCACTTCTTATTATTTTCTTCGGGAAAGGGGTGCTTGCAACCTCATTCGAGACCAATCACTATCAGGGTGCTTTTGCCTAGGTAAAAAGTACGCGGGGAAATCCTCCGGTGCTTTGATGAGTAGGTGTAAGCCTTAGATCCGCTCTCGGCGAACGAGCGCTAGTCACTTTATGTAACATCTCTCGAATTAGGCGTTTTCTACGATCCGCACAGTTAATTCTCGTACTTATAGAGTTCTGAATATGGCGGGCTGTTGTAAAAAAAGCGTTGATAAAAACTCGTGTTCAAGTGTGGGTCTCTGGACACTAAGGTTAATTTACCCGTAACCCCTTCTCTACGTCGGCCTAATCACAGCATTAGTCACGCTAAAAGCAAACGAATACGAATTTGACATTGCAAATCCTTCTAACTCGACCTTAGTCAGCTCTTAATGGCTTCCACAATCCGATACGAGAACTTAAAGCACGTCAAGGCGTTTTCGCGTTGCTAGTGGGATGAACCTTCTCTCTATTCCAGGACATGTGCAAACTCTCCACTCTGGTCGTGACTATACACTAGGATCGCCGATAATCTGCATCAAAACGGGTCGCTGTACGATCTCCGCACGTTCAAAGTTTTACACTCTTTTAGTAAGTAAGTCTGTGGGGTTCTAGCACTGAATCAGATTCGGTTGAAGCTCTCGGAATAATGAACACAATATGATTGGGATTCGCACATACAAGAATACTAACACTACTATATGCGCACGACCCTAAAGGAAGATAGCATCATCATCCCGAACTAACGGAAGGTTTAGATAGAATCTCCATTGACCGATCTACGCGGTGGCTCGCTTCAACAACTTCCTCATTCCTCGCTACATAACAACTGATAATCCTCGTTATTATAGATAATTGTATTGATTGGCGATCGGGACGACCGACTTAGGTATAATCTATAAATGGTGAAGGCAAATGTCTTCTTGGGCACGCGTAGACCTCTATAGCAATATCTGACGAGGTTGAACCAAATATCAACCCAAAATTATTCTTGAAGTCTAAATTTGGCTCGGGCGGTGGTCGACGGAAGACGTCAGGGAGGATTCCAGTCTATGAACAATCTCGACCACCGGAGAGGTATTGGAATGAATATGACGACGTGGACGTGGATCTTAACTCGGAGGAATGTTATGTCATCTATGTCGACCCCAATGAGTCGTACTTCCCTGTGCTTGAGACACAGTCGAAGGCCTTTAGAGGATTGTACAACAGTCTCAGTGGCGCGAAAAGCAAAATCAGTGATTGGTTGCTCAAGTCGAGACAAAATAATCCTCAGAGTGCCGCGGAAATAACGCCTTTAATTTTCGGACACCAAGAAATCGAGGCTGATTCGGGAGTTCATTGTTGTATGAGCTCGATGATCCCGAATCAGCCTTCTCGCACATCCAAGAATAGGCGGACAACATCACCTGGGTTGAAAAACTTCAACTTGTTAATATCCCTCCTGGGTCAGCCACTCAGGTCCCAAGAGACATTCGAAAACACGTTATTCTGGTGCTACACTGGTTTGATCGGACTCTCGTATATGATATTGATCATGGCTGGCGCGCTTATTAACACAACTCGTAGAAAGGTCCCCGTTGAAGTCGATGCTCGAGCCATTGCCGGAGTTGTGACCGCTGAGACATTTGCTGTCGTGGCCGTTATCCTGATTCTTATGCGGAAGCAGACGCTGACACTCTTCCATTGGGCACTAGTTAGCGTTGCTATCGCGAGTGTGGCTATCATTGGTATGACCATGCTAAGCTTGATATTGGTTGACACGCAGAGGAGAGCGCAGAAAAAAGGAGGCAAATGAGGAAGTGTCGAAATAACTTGAATACAAGCTCAAGTTGGCAGGCTTATATACTCAGAATCGGTGACGGCGGCATTGCCATCTAAAATCCGCCAATCACAGTTATATAACACAACAGGGACGAGATAGTCGCGTTCGTGAATTATACACTGTTTGAAATATTTTGGATGACATCTGGACGTCCGTTGACGCTCACTTTCTTTGCCCAGCCATTTCGGCTTGGTCTCTAGCAAGCCCGCGATTCAACCGTCAATCTGCCAGTCTTCCTCGTCTTCCTCGTCTTCCTCTTCTACCACGACCTTAACGGTCATACCCCATCCTTCTTTTCCCCCGATCCAATTCTTCCGCCTCCCCACCCTTTCAACGACTCGGAGTAAGTCAACCATATTCTGTTTCAACATATACGGGTCGTTTGGTCGTTTTGCGATAGAGAACTTCACCTCCAGCCCATCCTTGTTCCCATGTTTCCCCAGACCGGCAGCCCACCGCGCCGAGACTCGTACCCGCGGCTTAGTTTCTTCAATTACCCCCGCGGGATACATTCTGCCCATCATCATTGCAATTTTCCCGAGATATCGAGTCCACCAGACTTGCTCGAAGGTCAGGAGGCTTCTGAGAGAGGCTTTGTAGTCTGCTTCGCGAGGTGGTAGTTCACCTTCGAAACGCTCTTCGAACATTAGCGCCAGGAGAGCGCGATCCATGTGAGAAACACCATGCGCAGCAGCCAGTATACCCGTTGTCGTACTATAGAGCGCTGCTCCTGAGGAGGACTCTTTAGCAAGGTCTGAGTGCTCGAAGAACACGTTCGCTAACGAGCGGACTACACCAAAGGATATAGAACTCGGAAACGACCTAGTGTCGCCCTCTGAGGTTGGAGGAATCGATGCAAGGAAGAGATTTCCCATCGCACGAGCAGAGGGTTTTGCGAATGGAGCTGTAGCGACCTCGAGCGGGTCCTCCTTGCGGATGTTGTGTGGCAGCTCTTGAAATAGTACGCCTTCTCGAACACCGCCCTGACAGAAACGAGCTTCCTTGATGCCGTGTGGCAGAGCTTCGGCCAGGACGTTGACCAGAAAGGCAACTGCAGGTACTTGCGAGCGCCGACGGTCTGAGACTCGGAATATTTTATGCGCAGTCTTTGCAATTTCCTTTAGTCCTTCCGTATCTTCGAAATGCTCTTTGCCGGCTAAAAATCCGTTGATAATAGAGATTGGGTAGTGATGGCCGTGCACCTGACTTTGGTACAGAAGGAGATAACCCCAGCCTCGGAAACCTCCTCCTGAGAGATAGAGATGGAAGCCACCTTCGGCTTTCGCCGCGTCGACGAGCTTCTGTGGAATCTCAAGCTTGGTATACGCATTGCGGAAATTCGACTTCATTTCCTCACGTAACTTTGCCTTAGCTTTGTTGGCATCATCCTTCGACTTACCAGCTTTGATCTCGTCTAATAACCTAGTCATCACAGCAGCCCCATATGGAAAACTAAAAGCTCCTTGAGGGCTCGTCTCAACGTTTCCTTCACTTGCGATCATCCAAGTGATTTGAGTACTTCCCCCACCGAGATCCATCACAAGGCCGCCGACATGTGAGAAGCTACTAGCAATACCTAAAGCACCAACTTTGCCTTCCTCTTCTTTTGGTAGCAGCTCCACAATTAGACCTGTTTCTTTTTCGATCGTCGTAACGAACTCTCTCGAGTTAATAGCCTCGCGCGTTGCCTCGGTCGCGATGATGCGGATCTGGTTTTCGGATACCCCTAGATCAGCACAGACGACTTGAAAACGGAGTAAGGAAGCCACAACGGCGCGGATAATGGCCGGAGGGATTGGGATCCGAGAGCCAGTTTTAGCGTCAAACTGGGAATCATAAAGGGATATCCCTATACGATGGACGTGGACGGTCGGGAGGATGCGAGAGGTAGGTGGAGAGAGGTCAGAAACGGAGAAGCGGACACCATTACTAGAGTAACTCATCAGAGACATCAACAGCGAAGGAAATTATCAAGGCAAACGCGTAGTTTCGAAGGATCAGGAGCAAACAAGGTCCTTTAGGGAGCTTCCAACCTTCCCATGTCTACCAGCCCCCGTAGAAATTCCCTTCGCTCCGGGGTTCTAGCCTTGTTTTGCTGGATTGCTAAAGCCATGTGTAATGTGAAGGAATCTCAGAGCTATATTTCTCAGAGAGTAGCAAGAGGTTCCGTGAATCTAGAGGTCGCGTAGAATCCTCGCTAATATAGCTCTCTTTCCATCACCTTGCCAGTTGGTGAGGCATGCAGACACGAACTTTGCTCTAAAATTAAATTCGGAACTAACCGTCACGCTGATAACTAGCTTATTGGAATTGGAGATGTGCGGATCACCTCTTAACCGGCATGAGCACATCTTCCTATTTGCTGCAAGAGCTCTCAGTTGCTTTCGTTTCAGAGCTTATTTAGCCGATGATAAGGCAAATCGCTACCTCGATGAGTCGAAATTCAATGCCTGAGCTTTCATTCGATGGACTGTTAGATAATTTGTTGACAGAGTCAATGCTTTCAGCTGCAGGTCAAATCCGATTGCTTAGCTTCTGGTTATTTGTCTGGTTTTGGGCCAAGACAAGACCTATGTTACAGAGAAGCGGGAACGAGTCAGGCTCAGCAAATATGCCGGTGCTGAGCGGGGAACTTGCTTTCAACTTTCATTAAAAGCTAAAAACTCGTATAATAGCCTGCGTAATAATGCCAATGTCGCAAATATCCACAAGATCTGGGGTCGTGCCTGTTTCTGTGTCTCTATGTATCGTGAAAACAGCTCGCTTACGAGGGTCTTGCGGGGTTGTTAACTCAATTCTTATCCCCAGTCCCCGAAGTCTACGAACTTTTGTTTGTTAGTGTAGCGGTAGGGTTTCAAGAAATGGTGAGGTCGGTGCTTAGCTCAATTATTACTTCACCAATTCCGACTATCAAGTGAAGAATGTTGGTTTAGGCCTACTAAAGCAAATTTAGAGGTGTCTTGTGCCGATGAATGGCACCACCCCCGCTATTGCTCAAGAAGAGTGCTTACCCGTCATTTATCAGCTGCAGCAGGAAATGCCCTGGCCCAAAATGCTCATGCCTCCAAGAGGCAACTTTGCATTTGACTCTTAGTAGAGAAAATAGCCTTGTATGTGTGCTGACGTAAATACGATTATGCGGAAGACTGGGATAAGAGCGGCTGTTCTGTACTGCAGTTTCCATGGTCTAAATTCTTAAGAGAGCTTTACTACTTACCTACCGGGTATAACAATTATGGTCCTTACCGCTGATGATTCAACACATCCGTGACTTATTTCCTGGACAAAACAGGAGCAGTCACTATCTCCACATATTTACAATTCCACTATTATATAGGAAGTAACGATATAAAGATGCAGCTTCCCGCATTAAATTCAGTTACTTGGTTCATAATAGTTGTTTTGTGTCAGGGTAAATAGTTGCAAATTGGGTCTTTGGCCACGAAAATGTATGATTACTACTTACAGTTGTCTTAGCCTCCAACTTGCTGCCCGGCGAGAAGTCATCGGATATTGAAGTCCTCAATACCGCGACTCGAAGAGCATTCCCAGATGCGCCAAATGGCTACACGCCAGAGGAGAGTAGCTGTCCTTCGAACAGACCCGTTGTTCAAAACGCGAGGGAACTGTCATCCAGCGAAAATTTGTGGCTTCAAAAGCGCCGCAACCACACTATAAGCACCATGAGTACCTACTCGGCAGACTCAACATCAGCAACTTTGATACGCAAACACATATCAACAAAATCGTTGACAACGTATACAATGTGCCAAGTATAGCCATTGCAGCTTCCGATGGTGGCCACAGGGCAATGCTCAACGGCGCTGGCGCGGTGGCTACCTTTGACTCCCGAACAGAGAACTCAGCCGGACCGGGTCAACCTGGTGGACTTTTGCGATCTACTATTTACTTCTCGGGACTAAGTGGAGGATCTTGGCTAGTGGGCTCGATTTATATCAATGATTTTTCCAGCGTTCAGGCGATGTTAGGTAATAACATAAGATGATCGTGGACTATATCGACACGCACTAAAACTCGCTCTACTAATACGTAGAAAACGACTCAATTGTCTAGGTCTGTTTGGATGGTGGAGAGGGAGCCAAATCCTCGTCAATCAAAAACGATGTTGAGCTCAAAAGAATAATGGCTTCACGGAATGCCTGTAGGCGGGTTCTTGTGGAGGAAGTCATTGAGAGATGAAGTATATAGATCGGAATGTTTGACTAGGGGCATAGGCGGATTAAACGTCAAAATGTTGGAGCAGCGCAAGACATCTAGTAACCTTGCATTCCTAGATTTCGCGTGGGCGCATTAATTATTGAGACTTTAGGTCGGTTCTCGATCGGCCCCATAATTGCTCTTCCCTGTACTCGCACCGCCATTATTGAAGCTGACGAGCCGATTGACCATGAAAGAGTCCGAGTGTGGGAAGGTTCGATAGCTTTAAGCTCGGGCATATAATGTCGGCTGTGCACGGACTTCGGAGGTGGCATTAGTGGCGTTCGCTACCTCGTTTGGATAGCACTGTAGCCCGGTTGCGGTATTTTATTGTTTTCTACATTTAGCGACCATTTCTATCAGCTTCCCGTATATTCTAGGCATCGACCTCGCTAAAACGGCTATGTTCATGCAGCCACTCGAATACTCCTCTATTGGCGCCACAGATTCTGCTGTAGTTGTGAAGCCGCTGCGAGCCACTAGAGCTAATGGTTATGCAGGCAGTTATGGTAGCATAAACCCTCTAATTACGCGCAAAATATAGGTCATTAAGATTTTGTTCGGAGGAAAAGGTAACTAGTTATTAGCAATTCTTAAGACTCGTTGAAAGGATGAATTATTTATCCTTAGGCAAGGACCTTTCTCACTGTCTCGAAGTTGTCGACGCGCAGACTAGCGAATTATTTAAGTAGTAACTATGATACCTCAAGGCGTAATTTAATTATCTTCGAAAGGAACATAGCTTCTACGGAACTTATTCCTAACTTTATCTATATACGGGATCGAATCAAGAGTAATTATATTCCAATATAAGGCTAGAGCTATCTATCACCTAGCTGGTCTCAGCTGGTGCGAGTCCGGTGATCCGTGATGGTACCGGCTTGACGTCGCTCGATCATGCCAGACGCAGCCTCTCCTCTCTGTGGACTGGCAGTGGCCTAGGGTTGGACAAGTGAACCTCTACGGAGCAGGCCGAACGAATGTCGACCCTGAAGAGAACTGCCTGAGCAATGGTTGATCGTATGCTCAGTGAAACCTTCCCGCAATCTGAGCAAGAAGAGTATGACCACCTCTCCAGCCTCGTCATATTGACTATAGCTCTACTGGAAATGGATGACAATGAAGCCGTCGAGCGTGCCATTGTTTGTGGCATTGAACTACGCTCTCGTGGCCTTTCCTGCGGAATATGCGGTAATCAAATCTTGCCCGGCGTGCTCTATCTGTGCAAGAGAGCATGCACGCAGCTCTCGTCAGGCTTGTGTAGAGCTTGCCACCTTAACTATCAGATGGGTGATGGGTCGACGAACCGTGCACCGCAATCACGAACGGACTTGGGAAGCCTAGAAGGGGAGATCAAGCTCGTCCGGGAAGCCTTGGCACCATACCTCTACCTAGGGTCCAGTCTACTTACTAAAAAGCTGCGCACTCATGAAGCTTACAAATTTATACATGCAGTCTCTAGAAGGAAGATTTGATAAGTGGACTCCGGCCAACAACAAGACCGAGCGCTTTAGAGAGTGCAAATTCCCAGGTCTACGATTCGTGAAATTGTTCCAAGAGATGACCCAGCTCCAACAAGGCCAAATTACTCTGAGAGAGGATCCAGATACTACATCGGAGTCCATCGATAGCCTGCTGGAGCATGTTCTAGCAAGGCTTACTGAAAATGGCAACTTTGGAGTTAATACGCGCGACGAGGTTAGAAATCATCCTGGAGCAAGGATGCCAGTGCGGCGCAGTTCACACTCAAGTCGAGAGGCCGATACCAGACCAAGGACCAGCTTTTCGATCGACAGCCAACAGCCTCAGAGCAGTCAGAGGCAAAGAAAGATGCCAGTATGCCCCGTGTGTTAGTACTTTCCAATTCGCCTTGAACGTAACACTGGCAAAAGGCCACAAGAACCTGCCTTGCAATGACATTTGCTGTCAAATGCGGGCGTGGATTTGTGCACTCGAAGTCTCTTCGAAGCAGGAGCGGCGAATCAGCTACAACCTCGCGCTCTCCACTAGCCGCATAGTGGCAAAGTTAGGCGCAGCTCCTCTGGGCGCAGCTACAACTCGTTGTCAGTGTTCGAGCTCGCCATGACAGATCAGTATCAAAATCGCCTGTTCAAACTTGCGGCATAAGTATCTTGACATGCTCATAGCCCTTTCTGGCGCGCTTCCCGACCTCAAAATCGCAATCAACAAGGTCCGACCCAATGCCTTGGGTTTTGACGACCCTCATAGCGAATTGCCCATCGCGGACCAATACGAAGGCAAGTCTGTAAGAGAACAAACCATCCTGACCACAGTTCAGCGGAAGTAACCACCGTTTGCGACCGTACATGCTTTTCTCATATCTAAGCAGCTTTCCGTCCACCTAGATTCCCCTGCTCGTCATGGTGAATAATGGAACCTCTCCGAACTTCTCGAGGTGGGGAAAATAACCTGTGCAATTCTGAAAACATTAAATAGTGGGCGCGAGTAGACTAACCCACCAATATGAATCAGAGATACCAAGTAAACGGTTGATCGCACGAACACTGCTAGCTTCCAGGTTGCTTTGTGGCATGGTCCATGCAAACAAACTGTTGTCATCGTACTTACCCATAATTTCAAGCTAAAGTTAAATAAAAGCGTTCGCTGCCTCGCCGTAAAGCTAGGGTATGTTGATGCGCAATATGCCCATCAGGGAATTTGCCATGTCCTCAGCTCTCTTAGTCTCACGAGTCGAAGCCCACGACATGACCTGCGCCACAGTTTATTGCATCCCTCCGAAACAGTCCTGCAGTGACCAACCCTAGATCAGTGGTTGCTCTGGGATTCGGGTGACATCACTGA